GTAAATTAAATAAATGGTATTTTTGTGAAATGTGTTATGAGAATTATGTGATTTTTAAACGAAAAATTTGTTTGAAAATTTACGGTGTTACATATTTTTTAATAAATTATAAATCTAAAATAAATATAAAAAAGGTAAGGCCAATATAGTCATTTCATGTGTGGAGTTTATGAAACGTACAAATTAAAATTCAGCAAGACGATCCGAATGAAAAACAAAACATATATAGACAAAAGTAGCAAATTTGACCTAAACCATACAAACGATTCTTATAATTTACTCAAGAATAAATGATTTTTGAGTTAATCATAGGCAAAACTAGCAAATTTTACCTAAACCATAGGAACGATTCTTATAACTTACTAAGAATAGAAACGACTTTCATCATGAAAAATCTAAAAAAAAATGGATAGAATATGTTATCACCATTTGTTGTTAGTCATTGTTTTCATAAACTTTTTTTTATCTTAATATAAGTTATATTTAAGACAAAATTGCAAGTTCGGGGTATGTTAAAAATTAGATGTTTGATCCAAAATGTTTTGGAGTTGCATCACTGGTCCAAAACTTTCATTTTGTTGTGAGTTTGGTCCAATTTATTATGACATTTTTTAAAATGACGAATTTTTGCTTTAGTTTAGTTTTTTAATTTTCTTTTTTATTACAACAATTACAAAAAAAAAATACTACCTGCCCATAATCCACCCTCCCCCCCTTCTATCTCTCTCATACCATAACTGGTAAATGCTATCACTACCGCCACCATCCTCAGTCACAGCCACCAATACCATTGTCGATCACCGTCGGTCATTGTCGCCACCTTCGGTCACCACTGCAACATAAATTTTCCATATCTGAATTATAAAACACTAAGATAATTCTAGATCTACAATTTTAAATTGAAACTCATAGATTCAAACACTTTTTTCCAAATCTGAAAAATAAAACATTCTATTTTTCTTGATCTGCAACCTGAAAATCAAGAACAAATAGATGGTCTGGGCAAGTTAAAACCCTAACGAAACCACATGGTCTGGGCGAGTTTGAAATTGGATTTGGAAAGATGAAAAAGAGTGGTCTGAGCTCCAACAACGAACATATGTGTAGCTCCAATAACAAACATATGGTATGGGCCCTTTGACGGTTCTGAAAACACTTCTTCGAAGCCGCTGGCAATAGCAAACCCTTCGTCTTATCAAATCGTAACGTTACCGCCACCATCTTCAGATCTGGAAAGACGAAGGATATGCGAAGTAGGGAAACCCTAAACGAGCGACGACGTTAGGGTTTCAGTATCTCGTAGCTCGTAGATGTTGTCAGAAAATGATAGATTTGAAGAGAGAAGAAGACGAAGTTAGGGTTTCTGAAAATGTGAAACCTTGAGTTAGGGTTTCTTATATGTGGCGGCGGCGACGAAGTGGGCGCCACCGACATATGCGTTGAACGAAGACGGTAGCTGTGGCGAGTTTCGAACATATCTCCATCGTTAGACCTCCTTAGTGACCAACCTCCTATTTACGAACCCTTCTCCATCTTTCCAGATCTGATGAGAAGGTGTTACACCTGAAAACAAATAACGGCAGGATGGTGGTGCTCCGTCAAATCTTCAGGAAGTAGGTGGTGGTACTGATCAATGGTGATTGTGGCGTTCATAACTCCAACTGGTGGTGGTGATATTTTCTATATGTGAAAATC